AAATTGGGTAGCGTGCTTTAACAATGGTAACGAAAGTACAGTATGCAGTCACCATAGTTTCACAGTGCAGACGCAGTTATCGACAGACATGGGTATGTACACGCCTGCAAACTATGGTAAACTCCACAAACTGCACGGCGCCCCAACCTGTACATAATTAATGCTAATAAAATATTCCATCGCATCAGCAGCTAATTTTTTTTCATGTACCTGTTGCAGTAGACTGATGCTGTTTAATAACGATCACTGCCGTCTCCAATCTTTGCTGATATTAGACGCATCGAGGCGACTTTCCAATCTTTGTATGTTTTTCATCAGACTTCTGCCTGAGTATCAGGAAATGGTAAGTCTATCCAGTAATAACTCCTTGGTCTATCGTTGTTCGTATTGGTGTTGTAGATATATGACCTAGGGTTCACTTTAGCCCCCCCCCCACCCTCCCGGGGGGGGGGTTGGGGGTATAACTCTTGCTCAAATATAAACTTTCCAGTTTCCAAATTAAGCGAGCGAGCAAAACAGAAAACATGCTTTTTATTTCAAAAGTATTATTTTGTCATCATCAATGTACACTATCTTGATAAAAATATATAAAGGCCTAACTGAAATACTTATTTGGACACCTCGTGTATGAGATGAGATACAATAATTGGATGTTTTGGTCAAGTGAATAAGTCACCGGGCTGTATAGATCACAAGGTACGGGGTTCAAATCTCAGCCCAGCACTAACATCCTTTGGCAAAACGTGAACGACATTATTTGCAACTCTCCACCGAGGTGCTGAATGGGTACCCGGTAGGATTCGAACGTTAATGTAGTTTGCTCAGCATTGTGAGCGTCTGTAAAATGGCGCCTCCCTGCATGGAATGCTTATATTAATATCATTATTCTGAAATTTGCGGGGGGGGGGGGGGTCATTAGCCCCTGTCTCGTATACACACAAAAATCCTGATACATAGTTGTCCCGTTCATGTTCTATGTCTCTCACATTTTAATGTCAGTTCCTTTGAAGTGTTCGTGTTTCTATTGACGATCCTTTAGTTTCAAGGTTCCCATCAATTTTCCTGTAATGGTGCCGCTTTTCTACAAAATAAATATAGTTCGAGATCTACTTCAATAAATTCAACCTCCTCATATTATTTAAATCGTGAGTTTTATCATGTTCTCTCTCCTTAGTCTCTATTCTATTCAAATGTCCAGAAAATTAGAATAAAGTTTATTTTATGGAAATAGATATCCATAGGCGTAGGCACAGTTTAGTCGAGGGGGGGGGGGGGCGGGGCTGACATCTTTTATACCCGAATATCAACTCTCCAATTTCTTGATAAAATTGGGTAGCGTGCTTTAACAATGGTATCGAAATGTCATCATGAGACACGTAATAGATAAGATGAATATTTTTAGACAGACCATCTTGCTGCCAGGAACCGAAGGCGTTTGTCAAACTGATTTATATATTTTGTTTAATTCAGTGGCCTATTTTCAGGCCAAAAAATGAAGAAAAAAAAAGTTAAATTCCAACGGGATTTGAAAGACAATACTTATTTAGAACTCCTCTCAAGGCGAAAGGGTTTGAAAATGGCTTTTTGTGGCAAAATAACGAGCATGGTTGTCGAATCTACATAACTGATTGCTTTCTTTCTTTCTTTCTTGATTTGATTTTGTTTGGCAACTAGTCACAGTTGATTATTTTTGCCGTACACTATTTTATGAATTTATGAATTGCAATCAACTAAGTAATAGTCTGATTTTCACACCCTTGTACCGAACGGTCGTACGTTTTGTGCTGCACTAAGATTCCGATCAGTTTAATTTTGGCCATCATAAGTAGTGATTGTTTTGTTATTGTTCCTGTTGTTAACACGAATATTATTATTGATTTATGTATGTTCATATATATTTTGTGTATATTCATTCGTATCATTGTCTGTGCGGGGAAAATGATATGATGGAAACTTAAACAAAAAAAACTCAATTCTTAATTGATCATTATGCTTATTGGTGCACGGAAGTCTCAAATTTGAAAGCAATTTTTTGAAATCATTGTTCTTTTATATCATAATTATGCTAGAATCATGCTTTACAGCGGTATAATTAAAAAGTCTTATAGTGTGACAATATTTTCTACTCACTTTATTGATCTTTTGAAATCGACATGAGTGCATGAATAAGCCATCGATGTAATTGCGTTGTTTCTTTATATCCCCCATTCAAATTTCGGATAGTAATCATGTCGGATCTGCCTGTGTATTGGTACAAATCACGTAATTCATCGGTCTTACTCATGTTGATGAGAATGATAACCTTGGTTACGCTGATGATGATAGCCGGTAAGTAGGAATTAAACTTTTATGGACCAAAGTGTGTTTGTTTTTATTTATTTATTTATTTATATTTTGTAATCACTACTCGCATTGAAATGCAATTAGAGATAGGCCCACAATGGGCATTCAGTACGCGAGGTTTTTTCAGTTACGCATCAAAGGTTTAAAAATCAAGCATCATACAAGCAACGTAACGATAATACAATCTCTTACCTGCCTGCCTTTCTCTTCTTCTTCTGTCTCTCTCTCTCTCTCTCTCTCTCCTGTCTGTATGTACATGTATCTTCTTTTCTCTCTCTTCCCGTCTCCTTACGTTTATTTCCCCCTTTTCTCTGTCTCTGTTTACTCCACAGCCTCGACTGTTTCCGTGTTCGCGCGCCCAATCACCTGAGAAAAAAAAACACATCCTCAACGCTGAACCTGTGACAGTAGTCCCTGCCTCACACCGCGCTGTGTGTGGGATGCGTGTGATGGAAGATTAACAAATACATATATATATTTTTAAAGACAGAATCTTGACTAGCCTCTGACTAGTCCAGAATCTGGCCGGTTCTGTTTATTGGTTGGTGTGGTGGAGATCAAAATTAAATAGGCCACTCGCCCCCCCCCCCCTTTCCCCACTCAGTGTTATTTAGGGAACGCGTATGCATGTTCCCTCTTTTTTTTTTAAAGCACCCCCTATCTCCGGGGCGAAAGAGCACCCCTTTACCGAAGATTTTGGGAACCCGCATGCGGTTCCTCCGATATATTTTGTAATCAGTCGATTTTCCTAAGCTTCTTCTTCCATTAACTGCCCATATTCCTCCTCTTCTCCATACCGTTTCATGGTAGCTCGGCTATAGTCTGGGTTAACCAATGATTGCAGGGCACTCAGGGAGAACAGTATAAATACTGATTAGGCTACCCTGGATAAGCACAAGACATATTTTTTGTTTTCATTAATTATTATCATTATTATTATCATTATTATTATCATTATTTTTATTATTATTATTATTATTATTTGTATTATTATTATTATTATTATTATTATCATTATTATTATTATTATTATTATTCTCATTGAAAAAGAATCAAATGCAGAGGCCTCGTTACAGTCAAGTCCTGACAACAGAGGGCAGACCTGCTGTAGCGATGGCCACGGACTCAACTACACCCTACTCATGTTTCGCCCATGCCTCACGACTCAGCGAGAAGATGGGTCTACGGTGGTGACCATCCCGAAACTCATCCCAGCATCCCCTCTCTATGATACCCAGTGCAGAAGGAAGAACAAACACGGAATCCCTCCAGGGAGAAGAGTCTGTCGCCTCCCCGGTACGGTATGGGCGTTAATTCCGGGGGGCTGTGTATACACCCCCCTCCCAACCAACTTTGAGGGAGGATAATTAATGCTTGTGCAATATACCCCGCAAAATTAACACACACGTGAAAAGTTTTACAAAATTAATATAAGACTCTTGTATTAGTGAAAAGTTATTAGAATACTAACAATTACTAAATACTAAAATTACTCCTATTTTTGCAAGTGATAATTTGGCAAAGTTATATTTAGTTAAAAGGTTTTGGTTAACTGTGGGGCTATTTTCATAAAACTACTTATTCAGTGTTAGTTCATCGATTCTACTTGTTCATAATTATGTCCATAATGTTTCTGTATTTTGTATTTCGTATTTTGTGGGCTAGACTTCGAACATGTTGTTAGTCTTATCTTATCTTCATCCATTGGTTGTTCTGGGCTGCGGCCCCTACATAACACACACACACATAAAACTTTATATAAAAGTAGGAAGTGCAGACTTGATTTCTCGTGTTCCTTGGAAATCGTGTTCCTTGGAATAGTATTGTTGTCAGGAGGGGGGGGGGGTCATTCAAGCCCTTCTGATAATCCTGGCTCCGCCCTTCACCCTTTAAGCCTACTCATCAAAATAATTAGTGCGTGTGTTTCTGAGCATTGAATGAGATTACTGTAGAGGTTGCATGGTCTAGTGGATAAGTCCCCAGACTATAAAGCACAAGGTACGAGGTTCGAATCACTGCCACGACAATCCTGTCCTTTGGCGACATTCTTCTACATTTGTGACTCTCCACCCAGGTCAAGTTAATGGGTTAGTTCATTGAAATGCTAGGACACCGTGATAGTAGCCATGCTAACAGCTGGGGTAAGAGCTGTAGAGCCCTAGGAGAGTCGTGTATGACAGACATGAACGCTTTACAGGAAATAACCATCTATTCTTCTCCTTATTCATCTTCTTCTTTTCATCTTTCTTCTTCTCCTTCTTCTGTTTAACTTCTTTGTTTCTTCTGCTTCTTCTTATTCACCTCATCCTTTTCTTCCTTTTCCCCTGAATTCCTCTTCTTCCTCTTAGCTCCCCCTCTTCCTCCTTTACCTCTTTACCTCTTTCTCATTTTCCTCTTTCTTTCTTTCTTTATTAATATTCAAAAATTATTATGTTAATGATGGTGATGATTATGATTATGAATATGTTATTATTATTATTGATATCATCATGATTATTTTTCAAATTATTATTATTATTATTATTATTATTATAACCATTACTAACAATGTCATAATTAATCTTCTTATTATTATTATCTTTATGACGACGATGATGATAGCCCAGCAATCGGTGTTTCTGATGAAAGTTTTGATATCATTTTGTACGATTTTGCAGACTGCATGAACGACCCCTGTGAGCATGGTTGGTGCGAAGAGACAATGACTGGCTACCAATGTCACTCGTTTGACAATTCTTCAATAACTGTTGGTGACAAAGACACCATCATCACTAGCGCCATAACAACTACCACAAAGTCAACTAGAGAGACCCCGCAACCAGCGACAACGTCATCATCGACAACGCCTTCACAGGACCGTAAGACTTTACGGATTCTCGGCTGGCTCGGGCTCGGTGGCTACCTTTTTAAAACCTTACCCAGCCATCCTAGCGCTGCATTTAATTGGCTTAAAATCACAATCAACAGAAACCTAGCCATAAATATTAATTATACACTCACTCACCGAATCGGATGAGATAATTTATCATATAATGAGATTTCATAGTAATAATAATATTCGGTTCTTGTATAGCGCATATCACATTATATAATAATAATTATACTACTAATGATAGTGGGTTCTTGTATTGCGCTCATGTCTGTGATACGTGACACTCCTGACGCTCCCAATTATTACCCTGACTTTGGCACGGCTACCATTACGGCGTTCTAGCATTTCAAGGAACTAATTCCTGCCAGGTACCCATTTACATCACCTGGGTTGAGTGTGGCAAATGTAGATCAATGTCTTGCCTAAGGACATTAGTGCCACGGCGGAACTCGAATCGTGGACCTTGTGTTCGACAGTCCGGTCGGTGACATATCCAATCGACCACGACACCTCTACAAGAAAATGCAATTTGTGCAAATCTATGTTTACTTTAAAAAATTGACATATATCGCAAGTAAATCGGGAGGTTTACCCAGGTCGAATGCCTTCCCAGGTCGAAACTTTTTCATTATAATTGCGAGTAGTTTTGCGACATACCGTTATAGTCCAGAATATGGCCGATTTAATGTTGATCTCCACCACACCGTATACCAACGCAAATACTACTACTACTAGGTCGAGCGTACTCGCACTGATTTGACAAGCTTTATCCATTCAGTTCTATTCTCCATGATCTTTGGGAGCTCCTGCCTTGGTAGACATGTGTCCTTTTCTAACTAGTCAATGTAAGTCATCGCTGGGCGCCCTCTGGTGCGTTTGCCCCTTGAGGGCTCCCATAAGAGCATTTGTGAAATGATTTCACTCTTGCTCCTCCAGCAGTGCCCACTGAAACGGAGGCGGCGGTCTCTCAGTCTGGCTGAGATCGGTGTAATGTCCCTATACAATTCTATATTGGTCATATCGTCCCTCCAGTTGACATTTAGTGCTGCTCTCAAGAGTCTTGTATAGCAACCATCCAGTTGTTTTTCCAGTCTACTCGTCAAAGCAGTATACAGTTTCCACTGTAGCCCTAAAGAAACGGACTTTCAGTTTTCTACCGAGGTTTGATTTCCAGATGGCTGTCAGCTTGTTCAAAGCAGTCCAGGCTTTTGCCTTTCGGATATTAAGATCTTGTTTTGACTGATCAACCCACGAGCCAAGGTACTGAAAGTTTTGGACCTGCTTCAACTTTGTCCTGTCAGCAGTACAAATCTCGCCTTCACGAAGCTTGTACAACATGAATTCTGTCTTAGTACTGTTTAATTGTAGACCGACTTGTATGTGTGATCATTACAGCAAGATATCTGCTACTTTTCCTTTCCTGTAGGGTGAAGCCTAGATCCTCGAACCCTTCAGTAGTCATTCTTAGAGCATAATCCAATGCTATGATGAATAGGTATGGTGCTAAGGTATCTCCTTGAAGCACTCCTGCTAAGATGGTACAGGAGTCAGTAGTCTCTCCATCGGGTGAACGTACTTGAGATGTGGTATCTTTTTACATCACCCCTACTGCTGTAACTATTGTGTGTGGTATTCCGTAGGCTCTTAGGATCTCTAACATCTTCTTTCAATTGATTGAATCAAAGGCCTTCTTAAAATCCACGAACGTAAGCACTGCTGTCAGATGCTTTGCTTATACCTTCCACCAATCTTCGCAAAGTTAGAATTTGCGCTATACTATAGATCTTCCTGGACAGAATCCATTCTGGTTCTTGCGGAGAAGGGGTTCCAGGTGAGGACGGATTCTATTCAAAAGCATTTTGTTGAATACTTTTGCAGCTACTGGGGTCAGTGCAATCCCACGATAGTTTTGAGGGGTACTGAGATCTCCTTTTTTGGCCGGGTACAGGGATTATTATGCTCCTAGACCACTGGTTTCTCGCCATGGATAAGTGTTCTGTTACATACTTCCAAGAGCTGTTTGTCAAGGGCACCAGACTTCCATACCTCTGCTGGGATTCCATCCACACCTGGGCATTTATTATTGGAGAGGGAGGTAACTGCTACTTTGAGTTCTGCAATGGTTAATTTGCTTGTTTTAATTGGAAGTGTCTTTTGGACCATCTTCCTTCTGGGTTGTTGTTATCCGGTGGTGGTTGACCAAGAAGATTAGAAAAGTGATCTTTCCACTGGTTTATGTCTCTTTTGGTTTTGTTTACCTCTAAGCTGATCCACTTGGGTCGAGGCCTTTCCAGTGATCTCTTTTAACAATATCCCATACTTTCCTAGTCTGCTGTTAGACTGCACCATGCAATCTCGATCTCAGTGCATTTTTGAGCTATGTAGTTTGACTGCTCTTCATCGTATGCATCCTGGAGATCTTTCTTGGCTTTGTCAAGTGTTTCTGCATGTTCGACAGTAAAATGTTGGTGCGCCATTCTTTTTATTATATGCTACCTTTAGGCATTTCCGTTTCTCCCTGATCTTTTCGTTTTCCCATGGCGCACATTTCTTCTTGCCCTTTCTCTTTGGTACATATTTCGTGGCTGCTCCTTCGTGAGCTTCTATTAGTGCAGAGTAGATCTCGTTCGCTGTAGGATTCTCGATATCTTGATACAATGCCTCAAATATGTTGTTTACCTCCATTGTATATGCTTCCTTAATACTACAATCTGATTTAAAGAGCTGCCAGTCATGATGAGAAAGATTTGATTTGGCTTTTACCTTCGTATTGCTTCTCAAGCTTAGTTGCATTTTGGTGGAGACAATTCGATCGTCCGAGTTCAAAGGGCAACAAAAGAGTTGTAAGCTTGACAGTCTTTCACACTATTTCTCCACTTTTTGTTCTCTAGGATATAGTCTAGTTGTGCCTGGCTCTTATTTGGGTATGTAAATGTCCACAACTTTTCTTTGACTTTTTGAAAGCGTGTGTTACACGCAATCAGGTCACATTCGAATGTCATGTTCAGCAAGTATACTGCCCATTTCTGTTAGTCCTGAAACCCTTGCTGTTTGCAGAGCTAACCTGGGCATTCATGTCACCACAAATAATCTTCATGTTGTGCTGAGGGATCTTTTTAATTACATCAGACAGTAAGCTATAGAAATTTACAGCTTAATTGTAAATAATCACATTAGATATTCAAATGCAGCGCTAAGATGGCTGGGTTAGGCTTTTTTAAAGTCGCGGCCAAGCGGGAGGGGGGACGGGGGAGGGACACATGTCCGAAATACTCTGATAAACAAGATGAGAATTTAAAGGTCTATCATTTACCCCTCTCTTTACCTCACGATTTACCCATGTTTTACCCTCTTTTATCACAGTTTGTCTTTCAACTCCTTGTAAAAATGGAGGGACTTGCGAACAGTTAGTGACGTCGTTTCTATGTACTTGCCCTCCGATGTTCTACGGTCCAGTGTGTGGTAAGTATATTATTGCTAGCGCAACTGGTGGAGTAGCAGGTGATGTATTCTGTGCATTATTCAAGGAAGCGGGATTCGAAGGGAGGCGCGATAGCTCAGTCGGTAGAGCAGTGCCCTTTAATTAGTCCTCATTATCTTTACTCGTTAATCCTCATTACCATGTCCCTCGGAGAGGACCTGTAGCCGTCGGCCGTCTGGTTGCTTACTAACACGCATTTATTCTTTCTTAGCAGTCAGGTGAAATAACCACCACCACTATCAAATGAGGGCCCCTTCGAGGCTCTGAATGAGACTACCCTCCCATAAGATAAATAAATAAATAAATAATAAATATATATATATATATATATATATATATATATATTCCTTTAATTTCCTTTCATCTGTACTGATCCATGGTAATAGATAGAGATTCTGTATCCATTGGCTTTGTTACTACAAGGTACATTCATTTTACAAATACAATGCACATAGAACATAAAAAGAATCACACTAACGTTGTCCAGTTTTTGTATATTTGCCTACATGCAGATCAATATTTACTTACGCAATTACTTACGTAATTATATACGCAATGTATTTTATGAATGCATTACCATTATTCCTTAATGATTTTAGTGTACATATTGGTTTCAGAATATTGAAATAATAATAATTTTTGCCTGGTATAGTATCAGGACATGTATCCCGTTGAATTACTTAGATGTATATCTACATAGAATTAAGGGATATCAGATCATGAGGTGAATATAAAAGAATGAATGCAGTCGTGTATAATGGTGCATTTTGAAGAAAACAAGCAGTCACCGACCCCTCCCATTATAATGTTTTGCAGAGAAAAAAAAGATACAGACAAAAAAAGTGTTCCGTCAAAAAAAGTAAACAATAACTAATTGCGGTTATAGAATTTGTCAAAAGCTAAACTTCAATCCAGAGGGATTTACGAAACTGTTACAGTTTCCAAATATCTGTTCGCATGTACTTCACAAGAAGAAATGATGAATAATATATAAATATATAAACAACTAAATAAATGGTTAGTAATGAATGAAATATGAACCAATAAATAAATAACAAATAAATAAATATAAATCTATGATAAATGAATAAACAAATAAATGAAGAAACAACTTGAAATGTTATACAGTGGATATAAAATGTTATTACATTGTAGTCCTACATTCGATTTCGTAAGTTGATGTAAACACCAGAATGATGATTCAAATCTATTTTTTGTCATGGGCAATTATTGGCGATTTGATCCCCTCCCACCCCTTCCCTCTCTCTCTCTCTCTCTCTCTATCTCTCTTACTCTCTGTCTCTCTCTCTCTCTTTCTCTCTCTCTCTCTCTCTCTATCTCTCCGTGTGTATCTCGTATGTGTTTTGACAGAGTGTCCCGTACTCCACACACCTGATGTGGGTGATACCAGACGGTACGCCTTTCCTGGCTTCTGGATTGCTGAGAATGTGACGTCATTTGACTTCATGGTCAGCGCTGACAATGATGCGCACATTGGACTCTTCGCAAGTAACGTGTCAGACGAAAAATACGAAATTGGTAAGTCAGTTGTGTCATTGAGATTTTGAGTCAGGGGCTGCGATCCCGGGTAGGCGGGAGGGGACACCCCCGCCCCCTCCCCGTCCCCGGAAATATTTCTTTGGAGGATATCTACCGCCCCTCCCCCCCCCCCGAGAAATATTGAATCTTCTCGCTCCGTCACGACGGACCCTCGCTTAAAGATAAAGACCAGGGCCCCGTCTTACAAAGAGTTGATATCAATCGTAACTTATTTGCGATTGATATCAATCGTAACTATGTACATAAGAGATAGGAGACTGCAAACTTGCGATTGATTGGAGGACTTACGATTGATTTGGATCGATCGTAACTCTTTGTAAGACGGGGCCCAGTTATGGTCATGCGATTGCATTGTGAAAGAAACGTTGTGGAATCGATCAAAAAGGTTGATCATCTAGCATATAACTATTGGTGTGTACTGCAAGGTTCTGGAATCATCAAAATGAAAAGAAATTTGGCCCAGTCTTCGTAAAGTTACAAGCACTGTACACAGAAAGATGTATAGGGGACTACGCACACGTGCGTTTATCTCTCACAGTCCAATAGATAAACTAATTTACCAAAATAATATATCAATTAGTAGGCGATTTTATCCGGCAAAATTTGTATCATCATGTATTAGTCAAAACATATTCTTTCACAGGATTGGTAATATGAGCTTCCATTTCATTTTTTGAAATTGGGGCGTTTCCAATACTGGTCTTTACCTTTAAAAATTAAAAGTCTTAAAATGTTGAAGAAGAGGGTGCAACATGGAGGTGGGAAGTGGTATAAGTCGTAGGTATTTAACAGGCAGAGATTCCACCATGTGTATATTGTCTGTCTGTTTACAACACACTATAGAAAATGCAAATTTCCGGAAGGGCTTAGCCTAGATACACTAGTTTGCTGGCTCGATGATCTAACTGTATTACATATTATATTCCACATACAAAGAATCTTGCGCTACGATTGGATAAAAGTAAATCACGTGATAAAAAATAGTTCGCCCATCATTGATGGGAGAAGAAAAGTTCGTTGCACTGTGTAGATGGTAGTACTTTCTACACAGTGCAACGCACTTTCACTGAAGATAGAATCTACAAAGTGCAAAGCACTTTCTTGTATACGTTGCGCATACGTACATGTATGTACGTACTGCATGGACTGTACGTATCGTACACCGTTTGCTAGTTGTTAATTGATGATTTGTTGCTCTAAAATGACAGAAGAAGTGAAATGTTTCCAAAGTGGAATATAAAGGAATATAAAGCAAATAATCACCTTTTGGTTTCAGGCGATGGCAAACTATCACTTCCTCGGCGATCTGAATGTATACGCTCTCTTTCCTCAGCTTCGCTTCGGAAAGATAGTTACATCCAGATTGCCTCGGAAGTGATAGTTTGTCCCATCATCTTCACCAACGGTAATTGTTTGCTTATTATATAAAATATGTATCTTTAACTCCCTTCTTTCTCTCTCGCTCTCTAACACACACTCGCACACGCACACTCTTCTTTTGTAATTTTGTTTTATTCCTCCAAATTAATGTGTAATACAAACAAACACATACAACTAAATAAAATAAATAAACGTTTTCGATATTAATTGCTTATAGTACAAAAACATAATTAAACAATAACTCATTTGTAGTATAATAATATTCAACATACAAAGAATCTTGCGCTACGATTGGTCAAAAGTAAATCACGTGATGAAAGATAGTTTGCCCATGATTGATTGATGAAACACACACAATCTTTCTCCCCCCCCCTCTTCCTCTCTCTATCCTTTATCCCCCTTTGTCCCCGTTCCATGGAAAGGGAAAGGGGCTGTTTTAGGGGGGGGCGCAATACACTCTGTACCGCCCTCTCGTTGTGCTACGTCTTCTTTCACAATGCATCACAATGTATCACGTATTGGAAGCTTTCCACGTGTGGAGGGGTTGGGTGGGAAGGGGTAGGGAAGGAAGGAAGGATGGGGAGGGGAGGGGGTAAAGAGGAAGCGTGCACTGCGCACCAATGACTTCTCCTCTCTCTTATTTTTCAATTACTTTTGTTAAAACGAAATGAACAGTATGAACTTGTGAACTTATATTTATCATACAGTTATCGGTGGATGGAACAATGCTCGTAGCGTTATCGGACGAAGTGCCAGTTCCGATCTTTTGACTTGGAGAGAATTATCTCCTCAACAAGACTTCCGTCTGACAGGAAATCCAGTTTTTGACCACTACCAGCTATCCTTCGCCAACGGTTATATTAAGTTAAGTCGTTATGATACACAACTAGCCTTTATAGACGCCACTGACCTGGATCCTCTGGCAATCAACTGCGTCGGAATAATGACTGGGTATGGATCAGTAGGGTATTGGAAATTCCCGACATTCTGCCAGGAAAGCCAAAACAAGGATCATGCATAAGTGCTGGTTGAGGCAATCATGTAGACCATAAATTAATTGAATTGTATAGTCAATCTGCTGTTAAACTTGGGATTGTCAATAAATTTAAAACATTGTAGCTTTTTCTCGAGATGATTATACAGGGCATCGTTTCACGGAGCAGTCATAAGTTCAAATTCGCCGACATCCGATGTAATACACGCGTTTCAATCGGATAATAGTGAACTTGTACGACTGTTTCGTGAAACGTTGACCCGTTTCATAAAGTTACGGTTATAGCATGGTAAAAATAAAATAATGTAACATTATTGATCACAGTAATGGTAGGTCATCTGTATGGACAAAGCCGGGGGGAATACCACGTAAATAATTCTAAGATGATAATTTGAAGAATATGGAGTTCATTGCAGACGAGAATTCACATTTATTTGCTTTTTATTCCCCGTGCAATATGTAAAACATAAAGAACAATACAGTAAAAAAAAAATCCGAAAATAAAAAGAAGGCGAAATAAAAGTAGGCGCATCAAAAGATGGCGAAAATGAAGAGATTATACGAACTTCGTAGCATTTGGAGAAATATTTGTTGTATAAATTATAAGGGTCACCAAACCTGTCATTTGACTGGTGACATAATTTGAAGATGAATTATTGATATGATAAGACGGGAAGATGCATATCTAGAAAGTTTATTTTTTGTAAACGTATCAAAATCACTATTGTTGCACTTGAGAAATGAAGACTGATTATATTTGAAATTCAGTGTTGAAGAATATACTTTTTAAGTAAGTCATCACTGTAAGTAAGTCATTCATTGGAATGTAACTTACTTGAATATTAATTTATATGTTTAAATTTGTTGTAAATCGTATTAGGAAACATGAATCTGTGTCTCTTATTTTAAGAGACTTACACTGGCTACCCATTCACTCTCGCATTTTATTCAGAATATTGTTGTTAGCTTATGAATGTTTTTACGATTTTGCGCCTCCTTATTTGATAGAGCTGTTAACATTGTACACACCTTCTAGAAATCTTCGTTCTAATAAGAAAAAATTGGTTGTTATTCAACCAGTGATGACCAGGTCATATGGTGAACGCAGCTTCGCTCACACTGCCTTAACTTTATGGAACAATCTCCCGGAACATCTAAAAAACATTGACTCCATTGTTAAGTTTAAGATTGCTTTAAAGACGCACTTATTTAACATTTAATTCATCCATTTTTGTCTGTAATGCGGTGGTCACATCCCGCCGTACTTGCAAGTGCGTGCTGTCTACGTGCAAAAACGTGGGCAAAATTTGGGTATCCGTACGTGATGAGTACCGCCTCCGTACGCGCGTATTCGCTGCGTTCGGGCTGCGTTCGGGCTACCGATTCACCCCTGTGCGTGTGACGTGCGTGCCCGGTACTGCCAACGAGCGCGCAACGCACTGACTCCGTGCGCCTTTTAAAGGCGCACGTGATAAGTGCGTGGTCCGTGCTTACTCACCACTTCCCCAGTTCAGCTATCCAATGAGCACGCAGAACTCACGTTGACCGTACCGAGTAAGCACTTACAACGCACGTTGGTCGCACTGATTTATGCAGTATATAGTCTCTTCGGTGGAATGGGCGGTATCTTGAGGCAGCAACAGCTGGGACTTCTGGAGAACATCGGAATGTCGTCCTATATAAACACCGAGTTCATCGCACGTGCACGCACTTACAACATGCGAGCGAGTAAGGACACCGTACGTGAGCAGCACTTGTAAGTACGGCCTCTGTAAGATAACGTGGCAACCGCACGGAGACCTTACGTTGTAAGCCCGTACCACGCACTTACCACATGCGCAACGTACGATGCACACAACCGTTCACGGCCAGGCGTGGCGTGCGGGCCACGTACTTGCACAGTGCGTGTGACGCGCGTTGCCGGTACTCCCTCCCTGCCTTTGCCACTCCCTCCCTTCGTTTTCAGAAAAACGTGGCGGCCGTGGCCTCCTCAAAAACCGTACGGACTAAAAACACGCACGGTGGGATGTGACCAACGCTTTACCCAGTCCATCTTGTCTTTGTATTCTGTTGTGTTTTTTTCTAGAGCGCTTAGGGACATGTTTTATTACTATGTGTTATCCGCTATACAAGAACAGTAGATGTTTCATTCTTCTGTAGGCTTACATCATAATTTTCCGCTAAATATATTTTGTGTATTTATTTTGTATAATATGTATTATATTGATGGTAGTACCATGCACCAGTTGATTTACTGTATAGAGGCAACTCTATATAAAATGAAAATATTACTCTTATTTTCTGCTTCTATTAGAACCAACACAATACCAGAGTGGACTTCCCCCTTTAAAGTCCAATGAGGATTCCGCCTAACTGGCGGATACGCCGTATTTCCCAAACGAAGAATCCAAACTATAACTGTAAAATATACGTATATTCAAGTTTTTATTGTAATTCGTTATGTTTGACACAGCCTTGTTTTCGTAAAAGCGATAGGTTTAACTTGAGTTATTCTCATCAGTAATCTACGATATATAAAGTGTCTATATTTCTCCCAATCCTGTATAATCTACCACAATTCTGTATACATAATTGATATACCCCTTTAAAAATATTTATAAATAAACGGATATGTAGATATTTTTTTTTTGCAAAGTGTGCACGCTGCCACGGTCACGGCAGATCATTTAGACTCCTGTTGTGTTGGCATTCTAATCACCGAGCAGAAATTTGTTTTTCCTCTTCCACATTTATGATACCACATTTGTAATGATAGAGCTGGACTGTTGATCATTGCAATGAATGGCCGTTCATTGAACCTCTCTTTAATTTGCTCTTCCTTTCATTTTTATCTTGCAATCACATCGTCCTGATCATCAAAATGATCAAATTGTAAATATTATGGACTCAATTTACAACATGAAACATCAGTTATCCCTGATGATTATCTTAATCTTTTATCTATTTCATTGCATAATACTTGGACGTAATTGCATTATTCATGTACGTAAAATACCATTGACATTGCTCATGAAACTTTAAAATAGATTTGTGTATTCATGCATAGCCCTTTTTGGTATCATATAAAAGAGGATGAATTCATCTTTGACATGAACAACACAAATGCATCAGAACAAGTTTGTTTTTCTCGTCATCGATTGGAAAATCGGGTTTCGTTTCTTATATAACACAATAGTACCTGGGAGATTTCGGAGTACAATTACTTTTCGTGTCCGTTACAGGTATTTTGAAAGAGTAGAACACTATTGTTCGTATAGGTTGTAATTTTTTAAATTTTTTTTAGAGCAAAGAGCTTTGAATGATGGAACATCCCCGTCGATCGACACGTCCGACCTTCAGCACATTTGTCAGCAGGCCAACTTGAATACTTCTGTGTTCTTGAGTGTCGGTCTCACCATGGACCTATAAACTAAGTAGGTCCATGGTCTCATGAACCCTCAGCCAACTTTTTAGAATGCCCGTCAGTGTGACTGTCGGTGTGGTACTGGCTTGTCAGTCTCGTAGAGCAATCGGTCTCGTGGGCCGTTGGCAACGTGAGACGATAGTTTTCGTATCCGGACACCTACCCCCTGGATATCCACCCCCGGATAACCAACCCCAGTCAACTACCCCCTAGGACAACTAACCTCTAGGACAGCTACTCCCTAGGGCAACTACCCACCAGGATTTCCAGGGGGTAGGTGTCCTAGAACTGATGATTTTATATATGCAAAGAAAGGGATCTGTTTCGTGATGGTCGATTGAACACATACTGAATCGAAGAATGAACATTGTTAACAATTATTTGAAAGTTGGAAGACCGAGATTTATGATTTGGCCTACTGGCGAGGAGAAGTTTTGGAATTCAAAATAAGAATGCGGAAGCTTGATTAATTTATGATTAAAGCCACAATGAGGTTTAAAATTATGCATGTGACATAGTGACAATCCGATTTATAATAGAAGGTCTTTAAGAGGCCCTCCCAATTTTGAATCACTGCCAATACTCGGAATTTCTATATTCTATGTATATGCGTTGAAATGCGAACAGTTCTTGTTGCTATACAGTATAATCAAGTTAAAGACATCGTCCTCTTCAGAAATGATTATAGGTCAAGTTAAATGATCTTTTCATGTATTCGTTTTAGTGTTTACTATAATATTGCCTGTATTTATTTTCAGTGTGAGTGACATCAAAACAAATAAAAGGTTAATCTAGTACACTCGTGCAACACGTCTTTTGTTATTCAAGAGCCAATATCGTCTCTCCCTCTCTTTCTCTCTCTCTCTCTCTCTCGTACTCTCACCCCATCTGCCCCTGTGTCCTCCTATTATATGTAGAAATAAACATTCTATTCCATCATGACGTTGTACATGTATTTGATTCTTAACTCTAAGCATCTGAAAAATGTAGGTAAACTAAAATCGCTATACACAAAGAGAATTATGCAATGCTGACTGTTGTATTTTAACATTTTGATTATTATTAAGTAGTGGACATGGGTAACTGGCAGGTGATTTTGTTTTTATTGTCAATAATAAACTCCTTTACCTCAACTCCGTTAAAGAGTGGATATGGACGCCGTATACTTCAATACTGTCTATTCGTTATATCGCCCCCATATGGGACCGGGGTAGCCTCACTAGTCATAAGGGCCGCTATTCGTAAGGACCGCTATTCATAACATAAATCTTCCTATACGTAAAGAACCGATTTTCATAAAACGGAAAGGGGGTCGCTATTCATAAAGGGACAAGGACCGTTATTCCGCTATTCATAACATGAAACTTCCTATACGTCAAGAACCGCTATTCATGAAACGGAAAGGGTGTCAATATTCATAAAGGCGTAAGGACCGTTATTCATAAGGTCCGCTATTCATAGTGTGGGATGAGGGTCGCTATTTACAATACAAAATGAGGGTCGCTATTCCTTATACGTATACTTGTGAATATTGACCCTTTTCTCGTATTATCAATAGGGACCCATATGAATAACAACCCATATTTTGTATTATGAATAGCGA